GTCCGTTATTGTTGTAAGTCGGTGGTCCATGGTTTGTATTGGTTGGCCAAGGTGTATGGATCGGGAGTTGGGGCCTGAAGCTAATAGGTGGTGGCCTAAAAGTTTGGACGAAAGGAAGCTGAGCTGTTCGGGGTGGCAGTGTAGGTGGTGGTATATTTCTATTTGGGTTTCTGGCATGTGTCTGTTGATTTCTATTCAAAGCCATGTTAGTGCGATAGCTTTGATTCTCTAGTTTTAAACAATAGTGGAGGGCTGAAGGTAGATCTGCTGGCTCCTTTATTCCAAGGATCCGGGGTAAATCTCCCTTCAAACCTCTAATGAAGGTATCTAATGCTTTATCTCTGTAAATTTTTGTCATAAGGGTTTCAGATTCCCTATTTAATTCCATGCAGCCGACTTTATTTAATATCAGCGACAAGTGGTTATAAACAACCTGGTAGAATTCTTCTACTGTTTGGTTGTTACCCTGCACTAACATTGTCATCTGATATTCTAATGTTCCCAGATCTCTTTTGTCTGCGTAGTGCAGCGTGAGACATTTGGAGATAGCGCTCCAATTAAGGGGAACATTATACGACTCGAGGGCCGTGTCTGCATTGCCAGTGATTTTGTTTCTCACTGTATGCAATATGCCAAAGTATTTTGGCGAACCTGCCTCGGCTGCATAGGCGGAGAGTATACGATCTACACTCTTCTTCCATGAGCTAAATTCCGCTGGATTACCGGAGAATTCTCTGAGGCTTTTTACAATGTCCGGAACTCTGTCTAAGTCATTCAAATTGTGGTTGGCAGTTATTGTTTGGTCGTCTACGTCACTAAACTCTCTAGAGGGGTTGATTAACTGCTTTACTAATGTCGGCAGTTGTTGTGTCAAAATCTGGCTAACCGTGGCTGCTATTATCTGCTCTGCGTTATTCGCCATGACTCTATTTTGTAAATGTTCGTTTTGTCTGTCGATATGTCGTTGTTGCTGTCTGTTCAAGTTATGTCCGCCTACCTGTGGTTGCTCTGATACTATTGGGGGCCTAACTAAATTGCTTTCATTAGCCATAAACGAGATATATTACTTATTTTGTATGTTTTAAGATGTTTTCTAAGTATATTTAAATCTAGTGTTAATTTCTTACTCTATATTTTAATTGAATTTTTGATAGTTTTTATGTTCTTTTTTAAAACCAGTGGCTGGTTTCTTCCTTTTACTTTGGAGGGTCCCTTGGGAGTCGCAAAGTTGGAAATAGTTTATACTACGTTCGTAGTCTTTATATTTGTTTATCGTTTTACACTTTTTTATCTTGCTTATTGTTGTTGTTGTTTGGTATTTTTTTGTTCTTATAATTATATTTTGCCTTTGTGTTAGTTTTTTGCTTGTTTTCTTTTTCGTATTTCACTTAATTTCTAACTTACAGTACTATTCCTGATGTGGCAACCTCCCCTGCCGGTCCGGATTTCATCCTTTTTGAAGCCTTTGGGTATCTACTGGGGATCCTGCGACCAGTCTTCGTCGAGAGTATCCTGCGGGCGGGCCTTACAGAATGCGTTGTCCACCGATGGGCCAAATTGAACAATTAAGTTCCAATTGCCTTTCGCGAATTTCACCAACCGTTGAATTTAATCACCGCGAGTTGCACTTGGTTTTTTTTTCGCGTATAACCGACTAACGCGTACGTAGAAGCGTTTTGTTCTTTTGTATCGCGAGCCGGTCCCTGCTCGGGCGCCAGTTAATTCCAAAGTTTATTAAACGATGAAAAAAATTATTATTTTTAGGGAAGCAAGACTTCCTTTATTTGATGGTAATTTGCAACTAAATAAACTTAAATCAATTCTAGCCCTAGTAACCTGTGGCTTAGCGGCAGCGGCGTTGGCAGCGGCGTCGCTGCTGATGTTGTTGGCCCGTTGGGCAATTCTTCTTGGAATTTTCGGCGGTTGCCAGTCGGCGCGTGGAGGAAATGGCACAGACACCAAGTCAGCATTTTGCTGCACTTCTTATGAGGTGTTGCAATGCTTCTTATTGGGACTGTGTGAATTTATTTGTTGTTAACTTGCGTACTTGTAAGTATGCCTATCTGCGAGTATTCCAATTTATGAGTTTTCACATATGTGAGTTTCCAAGAGTATGCATATCTTTGTGTATTCATTTATAAGTATGCATATCGTTGGGTATGCAAATCTCTGAGTATTTGTGTGTGTCATTATGCGTATATTTGGGTATGAGTATATTTAGCAAACAAGAGGATACTTTTATTTTGTCCGACGAATGCTTATCAGCATTAAGAGAATAGAAATCATTATATAACTTTGAATTGAACTTTATCAAAATCAAAAAACATAAATCATTTATAATTTCAACTTGAATTTTCGCAAATTGACCTCAAGCTAGTCAGTCACTACAAGTAAGAGGTTCTAGTCGGGAGCTCCCGACTAGGGGATACCCTTAACCCTCTTCTTCCAACATCAAATCTATATATATATATATATATATATATATATATATATATATATATATATATATATATATATATTCTATTTTAGAAGCTTTATGTCAAGTTTAGTGACTCTAGCTCTTATTATTTACCAAAATTGCCCAAAAAACTGGATATCGATATCGAGTTTTATCGATTGCTTGGAAACGGAGTAAGTTATCGACTATCGGAAACAAACTCGATTTGCGCGGGAGCTAGGAGCACCTACATCTAAAATTTCAGTCTCTAGCTCTTATAGGTTCTGAGATCCTTGCGTTCATACATACGGACGGACGGACGGACGGACAGACAGACGGACATGGCTAGATCGACTCGGCTATAAATGCTGATCAAGAATATATATACTTTATGGGGTCGGAGATGCTTTCTTCTGCCTGTTACATACATTTAGATTTTGCACAAATACAATATACCCTTATACCCTTTTTTAATGGGTTCAGGGTATAAAAAATGGATGTGTGTCCCGTTTCCAGCTGTACTCTATTAAAGACACACAAAGGCCTCAAAATTTTCTTCTTCTTCCACAATTACTCATGCTCCCAGGGAAGCCACCCAAGAAATTAGTCGAACTGGTCAGCTCACAGGCTTAATGCAGCGAGTGCATCACATAGCAGAGTCCAAACTTAAGAAAGCAATTTCAGATGTGCCCAGGCCCGCACACCTGTGTACCTGCCCGCCCCACACCTAGAAGCCGGGCAGCTGGAAGTGGCGCTGCAGACGAGCATCGTTCATGTGGGTGTGTGAAATAGGGCTAAGAGCAAAGAGCTGGGAGCTGAAAGCTCCACGAGTTGCGACTGCGTGCTGGACAGGGACTTGCCAATAGGCACAGCGAGAAACAGGGCGGGGCGAGCGGGTTGGGGGCGTTACGGTGTGGGTTGCATGGCACTCAGCATGCGATTTCATTTTGATAATAATGGCAAAGTCAAATAATTATAATGATCATGATTACAATCATCGATGCGAGCAGCGCTGTCGAGGCGGAGGCTGCAGCCGAGTATGAGACGGTGACTGAGACTTAGACTGAGGCCGAGGCCGAGTCTGTGGCATCATCAACGCAGCAACTTGGCCAAATGACTAAGCAATTTACCGTTTTGTATAGATTTCAAACTCATGCACCCATCTACTACTCCCCCTACCTGTAGCTCTGTCCCAGTATCATCCGCTGCCCCTGACCATGGCCCTGGCTGTGGCTGTTGCACGGACGGCGCGCATCTTCAATGAAATTTCAGGTCAATTGTGTTCTGCGGCTGCGTCTGAGTCCCAGAACCCGCCTGCAACTACTTTGCCAGAGCGAGAAGGTATGCGAGTGCGAGAGACGTGAATCGAATACGAGTCAACCGCAAACGCAGCTCTTGCCAATTTCTATTTTGGTACAGCATTCTAGACAGTATTTTGTGTGAGCAGTGTGTTTGAATACCCTCCTCGCTCCATAGGGATAGTTCGATTCATGGCGAAACTTGCAACATTCAATCCATTAAAGTTTTATTTAGACATATGCCACACTTCGTATCCTCTAAAATATATAGATACAAAATGTAATGCTCGAAAAATGTTTATATTTTCAATTAACTTTTGCAAAACGAGTTAAACTGTATGCTGGTGCCAAGCTTAGCAGCGTTATCTTTTACCAAAAAAGTATTTAAATTCTTAATCATAACATAAAGAGCCCAGTCAATGAGCTATGTTGATCTGCTTATTTTCAAATCTGTCCCCCAGCCTTAAAAATGTCTAGATGAAACTGGGCAAATGACAAACTTTTGTTTATCGCATGCTGTGCATGAGTCGAGGCCCGCTGGCTTGGGACTATCGGTAAACTAAACAAAATGATGTTTTAAAAATGTTCTTGGTATCACGATAACTTAACAAAGCTCAACATTATAAGTTAATATACCACTAATATATGATATACATAGGCATCAACATCGGGAAATATTATACTTACTGATATAAGTATCATTTATAGCATAGCACCAATAGAAATCAATGACCGTACACCATTTTTTTTTTCTAGTAATTTAACATACCTTAACTTTATTGAAGAAAAAAGATCTTCAATATGTTGCTTACAGCTAATTAAATTACATTATCGGAGTACTAAATGATACAGCTTTTATAAAACAATATACATGCTTTTCTATCTAAATTGAGCCAAGAAATATATCTAGCATTTGTATCTGATTGTGGGTGGAAGGGTATATTATGTGCAACACTTTCCCAGTTAACTGTTTTGTCTGGTTTTTTATTATTATTATTTTCTTGTTGCACCCATCCCCCCTTCCCTACGCTCTGAGAGCCCGCTGCGTAGGCGCTTTCCACAGATTAATTGAAGTCATAAGCAATTGTAAACTTATCGCTTTGGTCTTTGGACGGGGCCAGACGCTGGTTGCGAGCAGCAGTCGGATAACTTATTTCGCGTCTCTTAACTATTTTCATCTTCTTCTATATATATATATATATATATATATATATATATATATATGTGATACGCTTGTTTTGGGGACAGACAAAAGGTGGGACTTTCGCTATGTTTTTCTATTAATAAGCCCCCAAATAATCATCTCTCTGAGAATGGGGCATTTTGGAGCTTTCTGTTAAAAAATATGTGCCTTTGGTCATAGAGAGATTTATTTGGGGACACGATATGTAAAGATTATTTCTGGGACCGAGTCTTCAAAACTGACTTTAAATACTTTGCCAAAATATTATATATAATCATAATCCATTAGAAAGCTTATTTTGGGGACAAAAATTTAGAGTTGCCACCTGGTCCAAAGTCTTATTGGCTAAAGCTATTTTTAGGGACAGGGAACGGTGGAATGAATTGGATGAGTAACGATTATTTCGGGAACACTATATGAGACGTCCTTATTGGGGACAATGTCCCTCAAATAACTCTAGCGCATATTACCGAATATACAAACATTTTAATATGGAATTAGAACACGGAAACTTTTACTTACTCCCATTTGAGTAAGTATTTGAGATTTTTATTTTTTGTTTACCGCCAACCCATTAAAAATGTATGAAAGTGGTATAACGAAGTTTTGCTTATTTAGCAGTGTAAAATAAATTTAATCTATATCTATTATTAACGAAATAGTGTCGATTTAGACACGCCCGTCACTCCATTTGTCTGTCGGATCAATATTAAACGAAATTATTGATCATCATAAACTTGTATGAAAAGTAAACATGCATATTTTATATATTTTGTTATAAGATTATTTTATTTTATTTTTATTGTTTTAAAACATTACAAAGATTTTTTCCTCCCCTCCGCTTTTCTCTGGTTGTCCAGAAAAGTCTTTAGTTGAGCTGAAGTGCGGCCGCGAAAACATGGATTCTCATTTATTATTTGGGAACATTTTTTAAGCGATGGCAACTTTTCCAATGTTTCTAAATTCCCAAATATGTTTTCCAGTTGCTTGCGTTCGCCTGGGCCCCATCGTACACGGCGCGTTTTTCCAAACGGTGACGCTGCAATAAAAAAGTTTATTTATATAAGTAAATGAATAAGTTTTGATTTGTCATGCCGTTAGTAATTGATCTGTTAGAGATTGAGCTCCATAAAAGTGAAGGACATGAGCTTTAACCGTGGGACTCTTTGTATTGTTATATTAAGTATTATACTGAAATTGATTACTTGTTGGCTATTCCGTAATACTTACTGCTTCGACGTTTTACCATTCTTTTGGGAGGCGAATAATTTGCGTCATCTGACGTACATACAAACTCCGGCGGCTCTTCATCATTTGATTCATTTGAGCTTTCTGAATTATTAATTTCAGCTGTAAGAAAAAGTACGTTAAAGCATATATAATTTTTTTAAATATTTTGTTTGTTTGCTTGAGGTCCGGGTTTGTTTAAATAAACAGTTGAAAAAAATTTAACTTAATATATTGCTTGCAATAAAATTAGCAAAATATTAAATTAAATAGTTTTGAACTTCGGACTAGCCATACCAACAAAATATTTTAATTATTTTAAACCATCACTAATTTCTTAAATAGTGAAAGTATCTTCGATTGTATCGAAGTTTCGATTCTTGCAAAAATTCTTTTGAAGTATTCTTCTATAGCATTGCAGCTAGGACTAAATAAATTAACTCACTGTCGGGATTAGCTTCTACAATTTCAGCATTTTCCTCTTCCATGTTCATTGCTGACATAAGTAATTGCGAAACTTGGGTCATCTCTGCTACAGAGGCAGGAACACGATAGTAATTTTTATGGATGTCTTTATGGTGACCCATAAAGCTCGCCAAATAATCAATTTGAATGTCCTTAACATTAGATAAAGAGGTATGTGTGGCCAATTGCTTTCGCAGGTTTGTGCCTCTAAGGGATTCAGGGCAACGTGCACCACATTCATTTGCGAATTTTTCTAGTATTGGACACGCACGAATATATTCTTTTCTTAGTGGCCGCGGGTTTGGCACACTAAAGATATATGTAGTTGGTTTATTTATTGTGCGTTTTCCATATTCCAGAATATTGTCTATGCAATAACGATCCCATGGTGTAAAAAGAACTGGAACTGTACGGTTTTTTTTGCCACGAATAATCACCCTGGTGAAATTTTGAGAAATGTTTCTCATTTTGGCAGACATGTCTTTATACAGATTAGAATTAGCTCTATCGTCGATGTCCCCAATAGAATGAGCAGTTCTGTAACTCTCAAGAGTAAGCCTTTCCAGTTCGCCAACTCTGCGCCGATTGAAAATAAGCAAACTGATCAAAGTGCTCTGCTTTAACGAGGTTAATGACAAAACGTTGAATTTGCTGTTTAGCTCATTCAAAGCTTTAGCGGATAAATCATGAACAAAATCATACAGTAATTTTATGTCCTCCACAGTAGGTATTAATACTTTGACAGCTCTATGTTTTTTTGTTTGATCCTCAACAGCTCTTTTATTTATGTTTAAATTTATTTCTGTTTCCCACAGAGATAAGAAATCATTCACTAATTTTTTCCTGCTATCATCGCCATCTTTAATACTCTGTGCTCCTAATATTCTCGCACATTTTTTGACCAAGCATGTTAGTGTTGTCGCTGCAGTGGGCTTCATAAAACTCAAATTATCGTAATTAAACTCAGCAACAGAACGAATTCCAGAAATCACGGCATCATAATATTTAGGGCAAATGACATCTTTCAGCTCTATCACGTCGGGGCATTCCGATTTTATCGCGATTAAAAGGCGACTTAGATAACGCATATTTGCCCTTATCATATCGTGCTGTACTTCCGTGTGTTTCATGGCTTCTGAATTTCCGAACAATATTATTAGATGATCATACATGATTGTCCTACTGATAACATCGTCATTAAGGACAGGCATTATTTTATTACGCAATATAATATTTGCAGCACTATGCATATAGCCTGTAGTGCCTCGTCCAGATTTTAGTATATCCCGGTTGCCTTTTTTATGGATATTACTGCTACAATTTTTTATGTGATTCCGAATAGTTATCTTTGGAAAATAGGCCTTACATCCAGTGCAGCAAACAAAATCTAAAGCACCTCTTTTTGAGTTTTCCCTCAATTGACGAGGCACTATAAAAGTCCCTTCATTGTAATTTGCATCAGTGTTATAAATGAAATCGCCTTTTTTTCGTAAAGCGTCAAGCAATTTTATTCTTTGCTGGCTGCCTTTTGGTAAACTGCTGATCTCTCTAACTTGTGGTTCAACCTTATGTTTAAGTTCTATGTGGCGTGCAAATTTTGTTTGCAAAGTTTTACAAAATATGCAAAAGTGCCGTTTACATTTTTTCTGGTTCTTAGCAATTGGGACAGTAATTTTTCTAACATCATACAACGGTTCCGTTGGTTCGTAAGAAACGGATGTACTATCCATAAATGACGATGATTTATCTGGGAAGTATGTCATGTCTGAAGCAGCTGACTCCATCGTTATATTGGAGTTTAAAAAAGTTGAGTCTACTGTGCAATAAAAATATATAAAAAAGTATGGTTAGAAATTTATTACGTACACCTATTCAGATGATGAGGAAATAATACTTAATATATTTGCAAAAAAAAAAAGATTGTTTCTCTCCGGGCTACCTAGTATTTTTTATTGGAAGCTTTAAGAGGATTGACGTAGAGTTTTTCATGAATATATTTTAAGAGAAAATTGTCTAAGTATCCGTCCACTGCATACAACATTTTCTTCTGGCAAAATCACTAAATATTAATTTTTATTTCTTGTTTTATTTTTTCATATTTTAACACAATTATTTAAACAATTGCCAATACTTTTGTATCTATGAAAATATGCAAATCTAATGTTTTTTATTTGTGAGGGTTGAAGCAACTAAAAATGTTCCTTTTTAAATGCGATCAAATAGGTTGGGTATATAAAACAACATATAAAAAACATATGCAATAAAATAATAATTAAGTTATTCTGTAATTTTTATTTTTTAGTTATCAAATTAACATCCTTCTGCTGACTTCAGCAGTTAAACTAGTTCCCTTCTATGACAAACTATGAAATTTGCACTCACCCTGTACGCTGCAATCAGTTTGCATATCTGCTCTTGCATCCAGACTATTTTGACCAGCGCCTATTGAAAAAAATGAGAAAATATTTGTTGTAAAATAATACTTATAACACATATGTATGAAAAAACAAATATAAGTTGAATTAAATATTTATCCTTACCTTTGGCGCCCCAGTTTGTGGCCATATCTTCTCCAACATCAGCACTTTTTGGATTATCAGCTTCTGTAAAAATAAAAAAAAAAATTATATTTTTTATAAAATTTTTAGCGAATTTGTGCAAGAAATCCAATTATTTTTATAAAAGCTGTCGGCATGGCTAAATTTCATAATGTTTTCATTCTATAGACCCGTAATTTTATAAGAACAAAAGTATTTGCATTTTTTCATATATATAGTTTTCATTTTAATATTATTTTTGATATGGTGTTATTTTTCTTTGTCAAAATGCACATCTGTAGGCACCGTAATTTTAATCTCAGAAAATTTATTAGAAAAAATTGTTTAAAGATCAATTTATTGTTTATTTTGCAAAAATGACCGCCAAGAAGTGTGAAACCACCGTAGAGCAGCGAAAATATATTAAATTAAATACATATAATAAATTAACGCAAGCATGGCAGATCCTTTTAAGAATTTGCCGAGCTATTGGACAAAAGTAAATCAGTTATAGACGAGCGGCACAAAATTGATCCAAATGTTTAATGAAAACTGATGCATTTAATGACAAATCGAAAATAAAATGGCAAAATCACTAAACAATAATTTTTATTTTTTGTTTTATTTTTTCATATTTTAACACAATTATTTAAGCAATTGCCAATACTTTTGTATCTATGAAAATATGCAAATCTAATGTTTTTTATTTGTGAGGGTTGAAGCAACTAAAAATGTTCCTTTTTAAATGCGATCAAATAGGTTGGGTATATAAAACAACATATAAAAAACATATGCAATAAAATAATAATTAAGTTATTCTGTAATTTTTATTTTTTAGTTATCAAATTAACATCCTTCTGCTGACTTCAGCAGTTAAACTAGTTCCCTTCTATGACAAACTATGAAATTTGCACTCACCCTGTACGCTGCAATCAGTTTGCATATCTGCTCTTGCATCCAGACTATTTTGACCAGCGCCTATTGAAAAAAATGAGAAAATATTTGTTGTAAAATAATACTTATAACACATATGTATGAAAAAACAAATATAAGTTGAATTAAATATTTATCCTTACCTTTGGCGCCCCAGTTTGTGGCCATATCTTCTCCAACATCAGCACTTTTTGGATTATCAGCTTCTGTAAAAATAAAAAAAAAAAATTATATTTTTTATAAAATTTTTAGCGAATTTGTGCAAGAAATCCAATTATTTTTATAAAAGCTGGCGGCATGGCTAAATTTCATAATGTTTTCATTCTATAGACCCGTAATTTTATAAGAACAAAAGTATTTGCATTTTTTCATATATATAGTTTTCATTTTAATATTATTTTTGATATGGTGTTATTTTTCTTTGTCAAAATGCACATCTGTAGGCACCGTAATTTTAATCTCAGAAAATTTATTAGAAAAAATTGTTTAAAGATCAATTTATTGTTTATTTTGCAAAAATGACCGCCAAGAAGTGTGAAACCACCGTAGAGCAGCGAAAATATATTAAATTAAATACATATAATAAATTAACGCAAGCATGGCAGATCCTTTTAAGAATTTGCCGAGCTATTGGACAAAAGTAAATCAGTTATAGACGAGCGGCACAAAATTGATCCAAATGTTTAATGAAAACTGATGCATTTAATGACAAATCGAAAATAAAATGGCAAAATCACTAAACAATAATTTTTATTTTTTGTTTTATTTTTTCATATTTTAACACAATTATTTAAGCAATTGCCAATACTTTTGTATCTATGAAAATATGCAAATCTAATGTTTTTTATTTGTGAGGGTTGAAGCAACTAAAAATGTTCCTTTTTAAATGCGATCAAATAGGTTGGGTATATAAAACAACATATAAAAAACATATGCAATAAAATAATAATTAAGTTATTCTGTAATTTTTATTTTTTAGTTATCAAATTAACATCCTTCTGCTGACTTCAGCAGTTAAACTAGTTCCCTTCTATGACAAACTATGAAATTTGCACTCACCCTGTACGCTGCAATCAGTTTGCATATCTGCTCTTGCATCCAGACTATTTTGACCAGCGCCTATTGAAAAAAATGAGAAAATATTTGTTGTAAAATAATACTTATAACACATATGTATGAAAAAACAAATATAAGTTGAATTAAATATTTATCCTTACCTTTGGCGCCCCAGTTTGTGGCCATATCTTCTCCAACAACAGCACTTTTTGGAATTTCAGCTTCTGTACAAAAAAAAATATATTTTTTTTTTATAAAATTTTTAGCTTTTTGTGCAAGAAATGACTTTATGTACCTTTGTATGAGTGTATGAGAATTTAACTTTTCGTGTTAATTTGCCTTTGTACATATCTGTTTAACGGAAATTCAACAACATACAATTCAATTCAACTCAATTTAAAATACACATACAAAAGTACATAAGTTTACATAATATGTATATGTAGAATAGCACATACATATACATAACGATCATCACACGATTTCTCTAAAAAATATAATATGCACTTGTACATGCATTAAACATTTGACTTACCATTTAGGCTTTTGAATTTCTTTTCCAGGCGAGATGCACTTGAAGCTTTATCTATAATAAAGGCCTCGTATTTCGCGCCTTTAAATTTCGCGAAACATTTTTCTTTTTTTATTACAACTTTGTTTTGCGGTAGTATATAATACTCCCCACATTTTACTAAATAAAACATTTTTTATAACTTTTTTAATTCGTCGCTCAAAAACTTCGAAATTAAAATAACCGCACGGGCGATTGCGATTAACCGGAAAAATGGTTTTCCTAGAAATCAATCGATAATTCCCAAAATAATCGTAAAATCGTATTGACTCATTCTATTCAATTTATACAATAAGATTATGTGCGTCAAGTTAGCGGCGGTGACATAGCGTCGATTTGTGGAACTTGTTATCGGAAAAGGAATCGCTCAATTTTAAATGCATTTATTTATGTTTTTAAGCACACAACCTAAACAATGTAAATGCAGAATTGAAAAAAATTAAATTATATACTGTCTAGATCTATTTCTTTTTGAATTTTAAATTATAATATGGTTAAACCAAGGGGTTGAAAATTAAGCTTTCCACCATTCTTTAAATATCTTAACTTAGATAATGGCCCCGAAAACCGCATATACGTGTATATTAATCGTGATTAAGGTCTATAGTTTCACCTAACCCATTTTGGACAAATTATAAAAATCGATCAGCACGTTTTAAAAATATTTGTAAAACAGTGCTAATACCATACAAAATGACCGTAAAAAAATAATCCTTGCACTTGAACCCTAATATCTTTTCTCAGGGATAATGCACGGTATACCAACTTAAAGATATATATTTAAGAAAGCTTTACGTAATAATTCTAAACAAATCGATTAGCCAGTTTTTTAGAAAAGTAAATAAAATGTTAACACACCTCATGCTGTTCATTTAAAAGGCCTAACGAGCTATGAGTTTTAACGGAAACCGAACCACTGCTTGGAATCAGCGTTGAACAATGTTATACAGTATTGAGAGGGAAAAAATTAATTTAAAATATTAGTATATGGGAAAGAAATACAATAATAAATGACATAATTGGCATTTTACAATAAAACATTATCTTTATTAAAATATATTACTACGTAATAAGGCAACTGTGTATTTATACACAGCATTATAAAAAGGTGTCAATATTTCAACAAATTTTCATTTATATTTTTTGGTTGTTTAATATAGATCGCGAATTATCAATCATTTTGTTTTTTATATAAAAAAAATCGTACAGCGAGTTTTTAAAAAAATTTGTATGTTTCTACTTTTCCTATTATACCCTATGTTAATGAAAAAAACTAGCTGGCAATAATTACCTAACATTTTTATTCATCAATATAGCGGTAATTTGCAATTCTGCATTTAAATTTATTAGGTTTTGTGCTTAAAAACATAAATAAATGCATTTAAAAGTGAACGATTCCATTTTCGATAACAAGTACAAAAAATCGACGCTAAGTCACCGCCGCTAATTTGACACAGAGGAGGGCGATTTGAAGAAAAAGCCAGCCCGCAAAATGCAGCAAGTGTCCGAAGCTGAGCCCAACCAAAATGCATAAGTAAAATTCTTAAATATGAGTGCCCCAATACCAACTCCCAAATCAATCCAGCTCTGTGCCAAGAGCAACAAAGCAAAATGCATGAACAACACCTCCAGAAAAGTAACTGAAAACACCCCCGAATCAAAGCTTAAGAAAACTAAGCATCAATTGAAGCAAATGATCGCGATATAGATTTCAAGCGTGCACAAGCGCTTTCGAAGCAAATATATTTGGAGGCGTGCAAAAACTGAGGCAACAAGCGGAACTAAAGGAAGAAGGTGAAGCCTCAGCATCGCCACAGCTGTCGAGCTTTAACAATCACAGCGTGGATGGAACTCGACGGCCTTGTCTAATGATCCGGCTTGGCACGTGCCTTGGAAAAATCAGCGAAAAAGCCAATTAAACGTGCAGCCAGCACATCACAAACGATGTTTGATCTTTGTTCCTCCGATTCCGCTACGGCATTTGGCACTTGCTGCAACCAGTCGGATGGCAATGGCGACTATACTGTGGTAACATCTACAACTAGCTGCAAGCCACCTGTAACCGTCACCAAAAGCCTAATGTCCAAATATTAATCTAACAAAAAAAGAATGCGCATAAAGTAACGCCATCCGATCGGGCGCAGCTCGAGAAACTTTATGCTCACCGAGGCCGCCCCTCATTTGACAACTGAAAGCGCGCAAGTTTCTTAAGTGTCACTTAGGCAGTAGCAGCTTTGATGGTTGCTACTCGATTTATTAATTATTATTATCTGTAATGTATTTGTCATTTTGAGAACACCCGAAAATAGTACAATAAGCGCTACTGATGACTGTAGAATTCTTGTGTGCATGTACATACATATGTATGTGTATTATCTATGTATGTAAATATATATCTTATCTACGTTAATCTATGTAAGTATATATATGTACATATATACACAAGAATAATTAAACCAATACATACGTATGTATGTGCATATGTACTTACCGTCTAAATAGGAAAGCAGGTGCTTCAATCCAAATTGCTTAAGGAGCTCTCGAAGCCTTTGCTCCGGCAATATAGCTTTTTTATCCGCGTACATTTCTACGTCACCGAACTCTTTACTTGAAATGGCACGCGTTGGCTTCAGCAAAAGAATTAGAAACAAAATTGAGAGAGCGAGCGCGTGCCAATTCTTTCTCACTTTTTTGGGCTGTCCAACTTTTCAAGATTTTTAAACCTTGAGTTAACTTTTATTCTTCTTGATTTTTTAAAGCTTACATTAAGTACAAATGCTGCATCAAATACATTTTTTGTACTTGATTCAAGAATATTAGTACTTATTCTAAGACCTTTCAGAGCTTCTATGAAATGAAGTACGAATTATACTTAACTCAAGAATTTTTAGCTCGATTCGAGCCCAAAAAGTGTGGTTTTTTTAAAAAAAAAATTTTCATTACTGCTGAAGCAAACAAGCTCTGCTAGCGCGAGCTGAATTTGGTGTTGGTAGAAGAGGGTTCTGGGTGAATACCCGCTAGGGAATAGCGGGAGCTCCCTACCATTAATAAAAAAACTATCTCATTTCATATAAACTCTTGCACACCGAACTTATTTTCATATAATAAATACTTTTAGACTTTTGACTCTGAAAATATGGAACAGCTATTCAAAAAAGAGGTACATATAAATATTCACTTCCAAATAAAAATATATAAATATATCCTTATAAGCCATGTATGTACATATGTTCGTATTATTTTTCAAAGTTTTCGTGTGCGTTTGTTAAATTTTCGTTTCATTCCATTAAAACATGTTTGTACATTTGGTTATATATGATATATGTAGTTATTTTAAGGACATTGTCCCCAAAAGGAATGTCACATATAGTGTGCCCGAAATAATCGTTACATTAGAAATAATTCCACCGTTCCTCTGTCCTCATAAAAGCTGTTGTTTATATATATGTGCGGTGTTGCCACATCGATGGAATTTAATTTTATATTTTTCATAAAATAATCAATAATTGGTTAAATATGTTGTTGTTCATATATTTTAAACATATATTTAACCAGTAAAAATGAGATTAACTTAACTGGGGTCATAAATACTAAACGGACAACTAAAGAAAAATCATAGAAGTATGGGTCTCCAAAATTGACTATATGCATAATCTATAAAAATTAAAAAAGGACTGTAACTTTTTTTATAAAATCTAGATTGGCTTAATGCTAAGTCAATCTTTATCGAAAAAAAGTATATTTTCAAACCATATATAATTCATATCCAAAAGTTATGTACTTTGCTTTGAAAACGAAAATGTCCTCAAAATTAACAGTGCACCGTCGATTTTTTCGGGGACAGTCCCCGATAGTGGCAAATGTCGCTGAAATAACCTCCTTACCCAAAAAGTGCCCCCAAAATAGGCGCATCACATATATATATATATATATATATATATTTGTATTTTATGTTGCGGCTTTGACGATTTATCGATTCGCAGGCAGAAGTAGAAGCTGAAGCAACCGCAATGACAGTTAGCTTTGTTGTTGCTGTTGCATTTGGTGTTGGCGTTGCTTAATTTGTTGCTATATTTGATTGTGGCACACTTTGCGCAATTATTTGATTGCGTTTCTATTAAGTACCGATACAGTTCAAGAGTTCAACAATCAGTAGCCAATGGCAGCTCATTTATGTTATTCCGCTCGAGGTTAAATTCCATTTGCTCTTCAGCTTGAAGTTGAGGCAGCCACTTACTGCCGTTGGAGGCACTGCAAACTAATCAAACAAACTCTTTAATTGAGTTGCTGCACTCGGTTGTTGCCCTACGCTGAGTAACAAAACGGAACTTTCGTTAAAATTTTGGGACTCACGGGTGGAAAATAACACCCCATCAAGCTGGATTCTCTAATTAATCAAATGCTATTTGGACTGAATTGCGTAAGAGTAGTATGCTAAACACAGGAGAAGGACAACGAAACAGGCACGACAGGCTCGGCCTTGAAATTAATTTTCGTGCGGGCCCGGGCCTGTCCCGAAAAGTACGATAAGACATAGATCCATATCTGAATATTGAAGCTGATCTTACTTCTTGAACAATCGATATAAATATCTACTTCTCAAAAACTATTTAAAATGAAGCGGTTGTTATATAAAAAGTCTTGAGAACAATTCAAAATAAAACGAATAAGAGGTTCTAGTCGGGAGCTTCCGACTAGAGAATACCCTGAAACCTCTTATTCCACCAACAAATAAATTACAATTCTCTAGCTCTTATAGGTTCTGAGATCCTTGCGTTCATACATACGGACTTACGCACAGACGGACGGACAGACGTA